GCCAAGCGCTATGTCCATGCACCACTGGAAAGCTGAAGAAATCGTTGAGGGATCTGAGTTTTGGTCCAGGAACACAATGGCAAGCATCTGCCTCTCATTCAAAAATTATAAAGCCAGAAGGGAACTTCATGGCCAGCCTGACCTTCTGCATGAACATGAGCCATCCGACTCCCGCACATTAATTCCTACCTGAAACCACAGTGCATCCTCAGCCACGCGTACTTATGTTCTAGACCGCCTGCAAGGTCGTCTAAGGCCAGGTGGGAAGACTGTAAAGCCTTGGCCAACAGGTCAACTAAAGACATGAAAAATTGGACGCGGGAACTTCATGGCCAGCCTGACCTTCTGCATGAACATGAGCCATCCGACTCCCGCACATTAATTCCTACCTGAAACCACAGTGCATCCTCAGCCACGCGTACTTATGTTCTAGACCGCCTGCAAGGTCGTCTAAGGCCAGGTGGGAAGACTGTAAAGCCTTGGCCAACAGGTCAACTAAAGACATGAAAAATTGGACGCTGAGGGGCAGCCTCATCCTGGCTGCCCCAGCCTCTGGATTAGGTCTTGTCACCTTCTCATCCATAGGGAAGGAGGGATCTCCGAGGGAAGGTCAGGATCTTTAATCCAATTGCCATTGCAGTGCTAGCATCTTGTGCACAGACAACCAACAGAAGCCAGGCAAACATCTCGCCCACCACGCTGGGGCTTTCCCAGCCCTTCCAAATTGAAGCACGAGAAGATAAATCCACAGACCGGCATGTGCAACGTCACCACAATACTTTGCATTTACAGATAAATAAAAATGAATCCTTGCTCTTTCATTACCCTCTTTCTCTGCTACCACCTGGGCTTGGATGGGCACACACATGGGAATGGGGCTGCATGGGCTCTGGGAAGCTTTCTTCTGCAGATGTTCAGAGCTGTGAGCATGCAGAGGGGTGCGAAGCACAGTGCAGGAATTGCTGCTTGCACCCCAGGGGCACCCAGACCCTGGGGCTCAGGCACTTTTATTTATTTCACCCTAGAAACAGGGAGGGGGGATTCGCTTGGAGCCAAACTGTTAGCAACTGGAGGTACTCTGGACTGTAAAAATGGGATTTGTTAGGGTAATTGAGTGGAATGGAGGAAGTGCTTTCTGTTCTATACGCACTCAGCCAGGGGTCTCATTAGCGATGGGTAATAGCGAGTGTAGTGTCGGTTTTAATGAAAGCACTTGCTGACAACCTGAACCCTTCAGAAAATGAAAACCACCTTGTGAAAATAACAAGAGAAGTTTTAACAACAACAAAAAATAAAAAAGCTAGATCTTTCTACCCCTCTCCTTCAGCTGTCCATCCGTCCTTCCCTCCCCTTCTACGCAGACACAGACCACGCCATGGCACACCAGGAGGTTTCGGCCACGTCTTGGCTGTTTTCACATCCCTTTTCCGACTCCAGACAAGGAGTCAGAACTGCTCCCTTCTCTCTAAACTGTATTTAATAGAGCATGCATCCTTGGGGTTGTGTTATCCCTTCGACCAGCCTAGTTAGTTTAATTATCCATAGATTTAACAAAGGTAAATAAATGGATAAAAATCAGGTGTCTGCTCAAAGTTGCTGTGAGAGCAGCGATCGCTACTCCAGCCTCTGGACATGGAGTAATAACTGCGACTCGGTCCAGTTCATTTTGCAAGCTGGAAGGTTTCCAGAAGTATCTATTATTCAAAGCAGTTCTGGTATTTATCGTGGGGATTTGTAGTGAATGGTAATGCGTCAGCAGCACAGAATGCTTCTTTATATTCCCTTTGTCCAATTTTAATGCCAAAGATATTTTGGGGTTTGGCTAATTGTTGCAGCTTGCAGTTCATGGGCTAAATCAGATAACAAAAGCAAAAAGTGATCTTCCATCATGTCTCTCTTCAGCACATTAGAGTATGGGCGAGCACCAGGGCTCGGCCAGGGCCGGCTCAGCCAGGGCTGCAGCCCGGCTGCTCTGTACAGGGCCAAGTACATCCGCAGAAATCTGAAGTCAAAGGAATTACTCCAGCTTTCCACCAGTGGAACAGCACAGTTCGGTTAATTTGAGCCAAATGTAAGATATTTGTGAAATAAAACCCGAGCATTTCCAGCCTAAGTCCCATCAAATGCTTTCTCCGTGAGGTCCAGGCACGCATCAACTGCTTACAATCAGGCTGATTGCTGCTTAAGCCTGCATTCTGTTCAGCACGATATATCAATTATGTGGTTTAAATCATATCTATTTGTTCATAAAACACACCTGGACAGGATGAATAAAGATGTGGGGGGGGAAGAAAACCGGACAAAATCTCCCTGGCTGAGCCCACCCAAAGTGCCCCCGCCAGGACGCAGGCAGGGGCCAGGGCACGGCGCGATGCCGCTCGCTAAGAGGCAGTAATGCTGCCTTCACCCAGCACTGGGCTAATGGGGCCCTCCCATCCCACAGCAGCTGACGAATAGCTGCTTTTTTTTTATTTTTTTTTTTAGGACTTTCAGATATTCATGTAGTTTTGAGGGCAGGATGAAAGGCAGTTGACTTTAAAAGACGACTGATCCCCTCCTCAGAGTCAGAGAGAGGCTTAGATCTATAAAAAAATTATTATGAGGATGGCGGAGGGGAGGGGGGAACCAGCTGAAAAATGCTCTATGAGCGGCAATAGACCTCCAGGCAAGCTGTAAGCTGCACAGGGACACTTGAGACCTGAGCATTTAACTTAAATGTGCAGGGGGGGCAGGCTGAGAAGGTTTGGGGAGTGGCTGGACTGCCCACCACAGAAAAAAAGTGCAAGGGACAACAGGGAAAGGAGCTGCAATTGCAATGTGCAACGAGGGTTTCGGCAGGAGGGAACATATTTGGTTGCAGATTTAATATTTCCTTCCCTTTCTGCTCTGAGCACTCAGCAGTTTGGGTGGAAAAGCATCCCAAAGTATCCCAAATCCATCAGATGTGAACAGCAAAGGCCTCGCAGCAGATTCCTGATCTCGGTCACAGCCACGTGAACCCAACCAGGCAGCAGATCACTCGCTCTGTCAAGTTTCTCCTTGTCTGCACCCAGGCATTGAAGAGCAGATTTCAGTCCCCTGATTTTGCACTTCTGGGGAGAAGAGCTATCAGGAGCCTGATTCTGGCCCCTCGGAGGGATGTAAATTCAGAATAAACTCATCGAAGGCAGTGGAGCGGCACTAATATAGTGGGAGCCTGGGAGAGCCAAACGAAGCCTTTGCACTCCCTTTTATTTCTGCGCAGAGGCAATCAAAACCAGCCAGCAAGGAGAGCTGTGAAGCTTTGTTGCAGAAGGGCATATTTAGGATTACTTTGATCTGAATAACAGTTGAGTTCTTTTCTTCTTTTGTTGGCGGGGAAGTTTTGCATTTTATTTTTTCCATTTAAAAAATAATTACTTTTTTTTCTGACTTTGTCAAGGCTAATTTAGGGGCAAAGCATCCCCCCAAATGTCAGGAGGGAATCACAAAGGGAAGCTCCACAACCTGGGGGCTCATTTCATTAATCTAAGCAATATTTTCCAATCTGTCTGCTTCAGTGATTTGCAGCGAACACATATTTCAGAGCATGGGGAAAGGCACCAGCCAGCTGCAGATGCCCCAGTTGTGACTACACCATGGGCTCGGGCACAATTTATTTACCCTATTTTGC